AACTTCAAACTGTATTTTCAAAAATACTAACTTGATCAAAGAAATGCTTTTATTCTGAAAGAGGTCAACTGGACGTATTGCATGTTAGACTTAGTTATAACTCTGGTTTGGATTGGTTGATTTGCCACAAATGATCCCACCCACCTTCAATTTAAACCAGTAGAAAACTGGCAACGGGTTTACATCAGTCCCACCAGTCTTCAACTGGATGGAGATGAAAACTGACAATCGTCTTAGCGGTTAGCGTTAGCTTCCACTAATACTTCATCTTTTTAACAGTTTAGTATTAGCAGAGCCAAGAGTCTTGTTAAGTGGTTAGTGAGGCTAACCTTTTGGATAGGTATGCCCACTTCTGGATTCAGACTTTACATCCTGGAGCTTTAAAACTCACTGTAGACGTTGACGACACACAGTGATTAGCAATAAACAGTAATTTCCATGCAAACACAAAGCTGACTACAATGTAGTTATTTTAACAGTTGTTGAGGTAAGATGGTAATAGCACAGAATTGATGCCCATCACAGGGGTTGAGAGTTAACAAATCATTCAGATCTTTGGCGTGCGACATGGAATGCTACGTTCATTAGATCTGAGKCAATAAGTTTTTGTAATTTCTGTCTGAAGAACTTTGACCCTCTGTTTTGTTTTTAACACAAAAGGTAATGAAAACTAAAACTGATATTTCCCAGAACATGGCTCAGTGTTGTGTTACATTGCAGAAGAGTTCGTTTTTGCCATAAAAACAAGAAAAGGAAGCAAAACCAGATGAAAGCAGCTCTCCTCAAAGGTCTGCCTGTCTGTCTGACGGATCAACGTTTGTGTTGCCGCTCTTTATTATATCCTCAGAGGCAGTTTGAAGTGCTAGTTTTATTTCACCTGCTTCCAAATTTCACAGCTTAAGTATCGATTAAAGCACTTTACTGTAGAGGACAGAAGGCAGAGAGTCAGCAGGAAAAACTAATAATGCAGCAGGTGAACAAGCACACACTGAAACTGGGTTCATCAGAAGTCTGAAACTGAAAAGAATCTGCATCTCAGTCTGATATCGGATAATAATTATGTTATCTTTTTCCTCTTCAAAGTTTCCTGTTGAACCCTGACTCATCTTAGGTTTCTCCGTTGTTTTTTCTATTACAGTTTTTGTTTTTGTCAGAAATTCTGCAATGGAGAGCTCAGACRACACCAGACCACGTCCTCTACACGCTCCTCAGTTCACGGGTAACAACGCAAACCTTTGAACAGATTTACATTTATTATGTCTCCGAACTGTAAACAGGCTGTTTAATTATACAAAAACATTGGAGGTTAAAAGGACATCTACWTTCTGACTAACAATAAGCTAAATGTTTGCTGTAACTACATTTTCACAGAAGTATGATTACAAGATGTGTTTTTTTGATGTAACAAATACTTTGTAGAGACGRAGAAGTAACACGCAGCGCTACTTCCTCCAACGGTTTAAACATCCATCACTTCTGCTTCCATGCTYCAGGGGGCGGTGTCCAACTCACTCACCTGTCTGCAGCTGCATAAGAGGGCAGARAGAGTGGCGGCTCTGCTGATGGAGAGAGGAGGTCTGCAGGAAGGAGACCACGTTGCTCTGGTCTACCCACCAGGTCACCGATGATTCTCTATAATCCATTAACAGAACTGTGCAAACATCTTAACACTTTTTATGTTTTACTTCCATGGAGCCAGGTGTTTTTGCTACTTGAAAAAAACTTTTGCCTGTATCAAGACTTTTGCACAGTTCTGAGGGTTCCTACTGTCTTGAACATTATAGATTTTAGTTTGGGTATTTTTCAGGAAATTGAAGATGGAAAAACATTTGAACTTAACTTTTTTGCACAGCTTGTGGATTTTGAAGCACGTTTAATCAAACCACCAACATAGAAGCACTTTCAGCTAATTTATGCTCAAAAACTGGCAAAAATGTCAGAAGATCTGAGTTTGGAAAGTTCAGATTTTCTAAATGTAAATCGTGTATTTCTATATTCGGACGTTTCCTGCTGACGTCCTGCACACGTCTCTGACTGGTGTTTGTTTGTCCTGCAGGAATCGACCTGATCGCCGCCTTCTACGGCTGCCTGTACGCCGGCTGTGTCCCCATCACGGTGCGACCGCCTCACCCTCAGAACATCTCCACCACTCTGCCCACGGTCAAGATGATTGTCGAGGTCAGGCTCCGATTTGGTCTCAACATATCAGCACCTTCTCATGTCTGTTTTATATATGACAGCAGTGTGTCGAACATACTCCGTACTGCCAGCTAATTCACAACGCACAAGAAAAACCCACAAATGTTCCTTTAATTTTGTTTATTATGTCTGCAGGTCAGTCATTCGGCCTGCGTGATGACCACAGCRGTCATCTGTAAGCTGCTGCGCTCCAAAGAGGCCATGGCCACCGTGGACATCAGGAACTGGCCTCCGGTCCTGGACACTGGTACTGCTGGGACGCATTAATGTGGACCTTCAGCCTTTGAATTCATGTTTTAGTYGATGCTTTCCTACTTATATGAGGAACACTGAACCTTTTAACTCGTCTTGGCCTCCTTCATCTGTTGTCAGTCCATTTTGTTTTACCAGAACAAGTTTGTCCTTCATTTTCCTTTTCATCAGGGACATCCAAATTGTCTTAGTTGTGAAACTTTGCACGCTCTTAATCATCTACAGCATGACAATAAACACTAAATAAATGTAAGTCTGAAACAATTCARCTGTATTGATAAATAGATTATGGTACTGATATAATAGATTACTGCCTAACAGGCAAAATGCAAATACTTTGTATTGGGTAGTACAAATTACAATACAGTATAGAATAATATTGTGTGTATGTGTATGTGTAT